TGTTTCCCCTTTTGCAGTGGCTGGTAGGCTTGTAACCAGTTTGTTGAAAAGCTGTAGCGTTTCTCCCTTTTTAGGGGTAACAGTTACTGTGTGCTTGCTATAACGTGCAAATCTGAGTCTGAACCAGAGCTCTTGATTATTATTACTCTAATGGTAACTCCCAAATGGTTTGGTACAACTTTAAGAAGGGGACAGCTGCATAATTGGACTTAGTTATTGGGTCATCTCTTAACATTTTGTTGGTGCTTTACAATTTATAAAGGTTTGTGTGATCCTTTCAACAACTGTAGGAAAGCCAGGAGGTGTCTTCACATTTTATTAAAAGGAAACTGGGGTCCAGATAAATGATTTGCTCAGTGGTGCATAACTATGAGGCAGTGGAGCTAAGAGCTGACCCAGGTCTTGTGACTCTGAAGGTTCTGCTACTTGCCATTTGCCACAGCGTTAGCCATTTCTTTTCTGAGTGTGGAAAATATAGGAAATCTTTATCTTGTAGACGAGAACCAATGGTAAGAGTTATTGGGAAGTCATTTTGTACACACTGACCTTTCTCCTGGCTGTGATAGGCTAAATAGTCTTTATAATTGGAGTTGATTTAGGTTTTTCCCTAGGACTCCTTGTTTTAGGAGTACCTTAAAAGAATTGGACTGGGGGTGCCTGGGTGGCGCACTCGGTTGAGTGTCCAACTCTTGATCTCAGCTCTGGTCTTGTTCTCATGGTTGTGAGTTCAAGCCCCCAGTGTGGAGCCTACTTAAAATATTTTTTGGGCTGGACTTGTAGCCAGTTTGTTGTATGCTTAATAAAAAGAATAAAATTCTCTGTAGAGGTGCAAATTAGCGGATTTCTACTAACTGTTCTCTGTATTTAAAGATTTATTTATTTATTTGAGAGAGAGAATGAGAGAGAGAGCATGAGAGGGGGTAGGGTCAGAGGGAGACGCAGACTCCCCGCTGAGTGGGGAGCCCGATGCGGAACTCCATCCCAGGACTCCAGGATCATGACCTGAGCCGAAGGCAGTTGCTTAACCAACTGAGCCACCCAGGCGCCCCTGTTCTCTGTATTTTTTTTTTTTTTAAATTATGGCTCAGGTCATGATCCCAGTGTCCTGGGATTGAGCCCTGCATCAGGCTCCCTGCTCAGCGGGGAGCCTGCTTCTCCCCCTCCCTCTGTTGCTCTCCCCACTCCTGCTCACTCTCTCTGTCTCTCAAAAAAAAAAAAAAAAAAAAAATTTAGGGGCATCTGGCTGGCTCAGTCGCTGGAGCATGCAACTTCTGATCTTGGGGTTGCGAATTCCACCCCACATTGGGCGTAGAGATTAAAATATCAATAGAAAAATTTAATCTTGTAGCTTTACAAAATTGTCTGATTTTTTGACCTGTGTTCTTTATAACTTTGGGCTTCCATGAAGGTCTGCCAGGAGTAAACAGGAACAGAGATAGCCTTTATGGGGCCAACTACAAACCAGTTCAGACTCACTGTGGAAATGGCCCAAACACTTTTTTCTTTATAGTTCTGCTTGGACCATTTCTACTTCTAGTTATTTGGCTAACCAGGGGAGTCCATGTTTTTTAATACTTCGGGCCACATTACAACAAATTCACATGTGTACAAGCTATTTTTTTTTTTTTTATATATACTGGTAAGAGTCTTAGATCTTCAGAATCAAGTATTTTAAATAGTAATAAAAAGATTCTAAAAAGCCAGCTCAGTCACTTAGTACAGTGCTACAGGGCCTACATTTTGGCCAGGTGTATCTTGTAATAGAGTGGATTTAGTTGTAGGAACTGTGGCATAGACATACTTTATTTTAGTTTTGGGTTACTGGTAGTTTCCTGAAAGTAAGTATAGTGTAATTGAGTCAACTGACCCAAATACTGCTCAGAGCTTGGCCACTTGGGATTTCTGAATGGTTCTGGGAGAGAAACTGTCTTTCCTTTTAGCTTATTCTTCATGGGCTCATCTATTTTTTTTTTTAAAGATTTTATTTACTTATTTGAGAGAGAGAGAGAGAGAGAGCACATGAGAGGAGAGAGGGTCAGAGGGAGAAGCAGACTCCCTGCTGAGCAGGGAGCCCGATGCGGGACTCGATCCAGGGACTCCAGGATCATGACCTGAGCCGAAGGCAGTCGCTTAACCAACTGAGCCACCCAGGCGCCCCTTCATGGGCTCATATAATAGAGTCCTGAGGTTTTTATTCCCAGAGGTAACCTAGAAACAATGCATAATTCATATTCATAATTCATATTTATTAAAATCTGTGAAATTAGCTGTATTTCCACCAAGTAGCTCTGCATTTTTGTTTGTTCCTCTCAGAGTAGTTAAGCAGTGAGATCCAGGTCACCACATTCTTGGCCTGCATGTTGACTTTGGTTGGATTGATTGCATATCCTCTCATGATCGTCAGGATTTTTAGATATCCCTGGGCTGTACTCTTGTTTTTGGGGTAATAGTGGTTTAGGTTAGTAAGAGACCTTATAGAAAAGTCATCCAAGCTTTCATTTCTTAGCAGAGAGCCGAGGGGTCAGAGTGGTTTGCTCAAGTCCTAGAGTTTGGGTTAGAATTCAGATTTCTTTTCCCATAGGTCTTTGCTGGGTGTTAGGCTGCTTTTTGAAGTGTTCCCTTCCCCAGACATAAACATCACTGTTGTTCTCATTCTCCGAAGCTAATTAGAATACCTAAAATGCCCATCCCAGGTTGTGTTTTGTCTCTGGAAGAGGCACATTTGGTTTTTGCCATCAGGAATCAGTTACAGCCTTTGTTAGTGATGAAAGACACAGGTTTGATTTTTGTCTTTTGTGAAAGGATTATGTTGATCTGTTCATGGAGCAGACCATTGTGTGCCTTACAGTATTAGGGAGCATTTGTAAAAATGTAAACTATTTTGTTGTTACATTTTGTAAAATGGATAGGAAGCTGGTATGCTATTTACTTTGTGTAAATATCCCAGTGGTGCCTTGCAGCAGAGTAAATCTGAGAAATTCCCAGGGAGCTTTTGCTTTTCTTTATTCTTAGAATTTTTTTTTTTAAAGATTTTATTTGTTTATTTGAGAGAGAGAGAGAGAATGAGAGATAGAAAGCACGAGAGGGAAGAGGGTCAGAGGGAGAAGCAGACTCCCTGCCGAGCAGGAAGCCCGATGTGGGACTCGATCCCGGGACTCCAGGATCATGACCTGAGCCGAAGGCAGGCGCTTAACCAACTGAGCCACCCAGGCGCCCTCTTAGAATTTTTTTCTTAGTTTGTTTCCTGCTTTGGCTGAGGCTCTAAACACAAGACCTGATTTTTCCAGGAAAGAAGTATTGCCTTTATCCTATTAAGTCTGATGTAGGAGTAAAGTTGCTAAATTACAGCTGTTCAGCTGAAGGCAGTGGAGACTGAATTTTTATTTGGACACCTAGAGAGTGGTGAGACCCTCCTGGTAAATTTTTTTTTTTTCCTCCTCAAATCCTGTCCTTGCAGAGACATTGGTGTTAATGTGGGAGGTGCCGTTATTTTTTATTTTCTCAAAATAAGCTCCAGAATGCTTTGAATAGACCTATGCTTAAATCTTGCAACCATTGCAGCCTAGCCTGAGGACTTTTGATAAATTAAAATTCTCTAGACTCCGTTTACTTATTTTTTAAAATTGGGCCTAATACTCTTGTACTTACAGGGATGTGGGAAGGTGTGCAAGAGTGAGTTTCCGTCTTTAAAAGGGAGGACGTTCGGAGTTTTCCAGTCTCGGACCATTTTCTTAACTAGTCTTTTACTTGGTACTGTGGGCTTCATTGTATAAAGTGTATCTTTTACCTTCACTTTTAAAAAAAGGTTTTATTTATTTGAGAGAGAGAGAGAGTGTGTGTGAGCCAGCTAGCCAGCATGAGAGAGTACAAGTGGGGGTGGGAGGTGGGGAGGGGCAACGGGAGAGGGAAAAGCAGACTCCCCCCCTGAGCAGGGAGCCCAATGTGGGGCTCCATCCCAGAACCCTGGGATCATGACCTGAGCCGAAGGCAGCTGCTTCACCAGCTGAGCCACCCAGACACCCCTGTAACCTTCACTTTTGTATTAAGATTACATTTTGTAATTTGGGACTTGATGCTTTACAAATTATATGAATCTGAGTTTATTGAAAAATGTTGCTATAAAAACATTTGCTTAATTGCGTTGTCCTCTTAGAAAGTTCTAAGGGGTAGTACTAGTTGTTTTTCACTCTCCACCACCTTCTTTTCTTTTCTTTTTTTTGGGGGGGGGTCTAGCTTTGTCAGTGACTACTGGGTAAATTGTTTTTCTTAAACCTTTGACTATAAATTTTATTAGTGACGATTCTTCATGTTTTAAAGCCTTAAGATATATTTTTTCCACATTTATAATAATGGATTAGAGGTGAAATTGATTATTACTATTACCTTTTCACTGTACCAGAAAAAAATCATGTTTAAGACATCAAACGAAAAATACTATTTTCCAGTCCCTGTTAAAATGGAAGCTCCTGAAAGACCAAGACTCTTGTTTTATGTTGTATAAAGTTCTGTGTGGTATGTGACCTTATGATCCTGCCATGTCAGTCTGCATAATCAAACCTTTCTTCAAATTTTATTTAACCCATTGACCTTTTTTTAAATTCCAGTTAACAGTGTTATATTAGTTTCAGGTGTACGGTATAGTGATTCAACAGTTCCATGCATCACCCAGTGCTCATCATAAGTGCACTCTTTAATTCCCCTCCCCTGTGGTAACCAGCAGTTCTCTGTAATTAAGATTGACCCATTGACTCTTTTCTTTTTTTTTTTTCTTACTTTACTTTTCTACAGATCCTTCTGATGCCTTTAGGTTTCTCTTGTGTGCCCAAGGGATAGGACTGTAGTTAATGATTTATCTTCTACAGTTATGGCATGTGGCTTAGAACTCCATATATTGATAAAATATTTTAGGTAGAAGCATACTGGAAGAATTACCTTAAAAAAATATTTTTAAAGCCCATCAAGTATCTGTAATTTATATCACTTTTTTTTTTTTTTTGTAGCGTGTTCCACACTACCCAAGACAGCACTTCATGGTGTCCCGTAGTCTCTGTTCAGCAGGATATGATTCTAACGAAAAAGTAAGTACTTACATACTTTGAATAGCGAAGTTATAATGGTTCTACTCTCTTACCTCCATGCTGTGTTCACTGGACAGATTACATGTATTAATGTATAATTATTGCTCTAACATCATAGGTTTTATAGGTGTTCAGTCTTTCTTTTTCTCATTGTGGGCCACAACCAGAGCCTTAAATTTTGGTATCTATACCAAAAATTGAATAAATTTATAGTGTTTACCTTGTTTTCAGCAGAATAATGTAACATTCTTAAATTCTGGGCATTTGAGAGATTTTGATTAAACTTTTTAAAGATTTTATTTGACAGAGACAGCGAGAGAGGGAACACAAGCAGGGGGAGTGGGAGAGGGAGAGGCAGGCCTCTTGCTGAGCAGGGAGCCCGATGCGGGGCTCGATCCGAGGACTCTGGGATCATGACCTGAGCCGAAGGCAGACCCTTAACGGCTGAGCCACCCAGGCGCCCCAAGGGACAAGGGAATTCCAATGAAAATCCTGATACAGGTCAATGGTTGAAGTTTATAATATGAGAACGGGGTTTGAAAATCTACACTAGATTTAGAAGGTTTGAATTTAAAATATCTCACTGATACTTTTTATATTGATTATCTATTGAAATTGATAATTTTTGAAGTGGTGATTGTGGAGATAAAACATAATTTGTGACAGTGAAGGCCTCAAAGAGGGCAGGAGGGAGTTTTGGTTAGGAGATGGTTCAAGTTGAATATCATGAAGGTAGAACTGGTGAATGATTGTTTGAGAATGAAGTAGCGAAGGTATCTTCTAAATAATCTCTTGAAGTATATAAAACTACTCAAAAGAATCTGGAGGCTTAAGGGCGCCTGGGTGGCTCAGATGGTTAAGCGTCTGCCTTCGGCTCAGGTCATGATCCCAGGGTCCTGGAATCGAGTCCCGCATCAGGCTCCCTGCTCCTTGGGAGGCTGCTTCTCCCTCTGCTTCTCTCTCTCTCTCTCTCTCTGTCTCTCATAAATAAATAAATAAAATCTTTAAAAAAAAAAAAAAAGAATCTGGAGGCTTGGGGCACCTGGGTGGCTCAGTCATGATCCCAGGGTCCTGGGATCGAGCCCTGCATCCGGCTCCCTGCTCAGCAGGGAACCTGCTGCTCCCTCTCCCACTCCCCCTGCTTGTGCTCTCGCTCTCTCTCGCTCTCTCTCTCTCTCTCTCTCTCTCTCTGACAAATAAATAAAATCTTAAAAAATTCTGGAGGCTTGAAGAAAGGGTCATCATAGTTCAATAGCAATATAATGTGGACACAATTGCAGGGCATATCATTTTAAATTTTCTAATAGTCACATTAAAAAATTTTAATAGTATGTTTTAACTCTCTAAAGTATTATTTCAATAGATAATCAATATAAAAAGTATCAGTGAGATACTTTACATTCAACCTTCTAAATCTAGTGTATAGTTTACACTTCTGGCACTTGATTTGATTAGCCACATTTGAAGAGCTCAGTAACCTTTTGTGGCTAGTGGTTACTTTATTGGACAGCACTGGTCCAAATGAATTAGCTGTGATTAATTCCCTGTTATGAAATTTATGTTTTTTAATTTTTTAAAGATTTATTAGAGTGACTAGGGGGAGGGGTAGAGGGAGAGAATCTCAAGTTGACTCCCTGCTGAACATGGAGCCGGACGTGGGGCTCTGTCCCATGACCCATGAGATCGTGACCTGAGCTGAAACCAAGAGTTGGATGCTTGACCGACTGAGCCACACATGTGCCCTGAAATCCATGGTTTAATATGAAAACTTCAGCATAGACAGTATGCCTTGGGATGCATGTATGTCTGTGCATTTCTGGACACATATGCTGAGTTCCAATTTAGAGGTAGTGAGCTGTCCTAACTAGAAACACTCTAGGGGTGGTTAGCTAGTACTTGTACTAGAGGTCATATTCCAGTGTGGGGGCGGTATGGTATACTACAAAGGGTTCAGCTATCTTTCTCCCTGTTAACTCTGGTAGCCTTCCTCATTAGTATAATAGGTGTTAGAAATGGGCTGTCATTGATGAAAGGCAAGATACGTGTTCTGGGTATTAATACCAGTTCTTAGCTGCTGAAGTAGCAGAATGTAATAGTCTAGTTGGCTTTCCATTCTTTACCTTTAAGATAGAACCTATGCTTGATCCCTAAATGATGTCCTGTGTTTAGCTGCTTGTCTGGGGGTTCTCCATAGCTTGAGTCTGACAGTATGGCTAGCCAAATCAGAATATTGATGTATTTGCCTCAGGTGAAACTTTCATGCAGTCTGTTGGAGCATTACAGAGTGAAGGAAGTTGAGCCTTCCCTGAGCTTATCCAGCAAATTTTAAGATCCTTTTTAATGCCTTTTTTTTTTTTTTTTAAAGATTTTATTATTTGAGAGAGAGAACACAAGAGTGGGGTGAGGGGCAGAGGGAGAAGCAGACTCCCTGCGGAGCAGGGAGCCCAATGTGGGGCTGGATCCCAAGACTCTGGGATCACAACTGGAGTCGAAGGCAGATGCTTAGAGAACTGAGCCACCCAGGTGCCCCACTTAAGATCCTTTTTATTTTTGTTCATAAATGTATGTGTGGTGGAGTTTGGTTTGAGACTTGTTTTTGCCATAACCTCATAGTGAGCTTACAATAATAGCTGATTCACCCCTCACGTTGGTGGCCATTGATAATTACTAAAAATAAGTGTATATATAACTATCGGTTTAGGAAATTTAAAGAGCTCCTCCCCTCTCCTTGGAATCTACTAAGGTACACGTTTTGTTGTAAATGTCTGAAATCAGATCTGCCTGCTATCTTTGCCGATGTGAGATGTTGGGGTCTGGGAGCGAATGGTCAAGAAAGAATTCTTGAGACGTGCAAAAATGGTTTTATGAAAGCAGGGGGACTGGACCCGTGGGCAGAAAGAGGTACACTGGGGTTGCGAGGAGGAACTGATTATATACTTTCAAGTTGGGAGGGGCTTAGGGATAGCAGAAGTGTCTAAGGAATTTGGAAGCTAGGTTTCTAGGACCTTGAGCGTCATATACTATAGTCTAGTAAAACCTTAGTCATGAGACCCTTCAGGTGGATATCAGTGGGCCACATGTTTGGAGGATGATTGCTAACATACATCTTGGGGTGGGAGGTAGAGATAAAGGAAATTTTCAAAGGGATTTTTTTTTTTTTTTTTATACTAAAGAAGACTTACAGGATACTGGGGGTGGGGTGATGTCAAGCTAAGGTTGCCTTTTGCTTCTAGCAAAGTACTGATATTGAGGCAGTTGAATTCCTGGAGGAAGGTCACTCTGCCTGTCCCAAGCACTTGTCAGTGGGCCATAAGTTGTAAGGAAGTTAAATTTTTTTCTATGTTTCTTTTGCCTTTGTTCCCCACATCATTTGCCATCTCCTTTGCTGTACCTTTTTCTGAGGTAATTGTGGAGAAACTGTGTAGTGTGCTCAGTCTTGACAAAGTCTATGATACTTTTTGGCACCTAGTGGTGGTTACTGGTGTTGGACTTTCAGACCAAACTGAAGGCTTGCCCTCATGTAGAGGGCCTTTCTACTTCTAGGAATTCTTGCTTATGACCATTCATTAAATACGGTACTCTTTGTTCTCCTTTATTGTTCCTGTTTTAAATGCAGGTAGATCTGATCTTTATTTGTTAAATAAATTGATTGTCATCTGAACTTGCCTTTGACTCCTTTTTTCACTCCACATTTTATCAGCGACTCATACCCAGTCGAAATCAGGTAAAATTTAATTACTAAAAATACTATTTTTTCAATTTGAGTCTTAACATGTCAACTTGTTTCAGGTATGTTCATAAGAATAGGGAAGATTTAATAGTGATCTGCTTAGAAAAAGACCAGGAGGTTGTAGTAGGCCTTAAGTTAGGGTGAGCCAGGATAGTACTACGGCATGCCTGGCATGACAAATGTGATCTTAATTTGTTTATAAATTATAATTATTAATACAGTGTTTAAAGCTTGTACCATTGATCATGTTACATCCTGGTGTGTTTTGACATGAATATCTGGGTGTGAGCTCTGGCTTTACCCCTGTGAACTTTGTTAAGTGACTTAAGCAGATGTTGGCCTCATCAAGCCTTAGTTTTCTCATTTGTAAATTGGGAATATTCTCAACTGACCTCCTAGGACTCTTGTGAGGATGAAATGAGAGAGTGCACAGAAGGGATGTGTCCTGGTACCTGGCATGTAGAAAGCATGTGTCCTAAATGTCAGCTGCTTAATGCTTAATATTAGTCTTTTTTTTTTTTTTTAAGTAGGCTCCATGCCTGGTGTAGAGCCCAATGTGGGGCTTGAACTCACAACCCTGAGATCAAGACCTGAGCTGAGAAGAGTCAGACACTTAACCGACTGAGCCACACAGGTGCCCCTGCTTAATAGTAGTCTTAACAGCTCGGTTTTGTACATTTGGAAACAGGCTCAAAATGCACAGATAGTAAGTGTAAGTGGGTTATAAATTCAAGCCTGGGCTTCTCCTGAGGCAGTAGATTTACCCATTGTGGTAGACTCCTTGTCAGAAGTGTTGGTAAGGGGGGCGCCTGGGTGGCTCAGTCGTTAAGTGTCTGCCTCCGGCTCAGGTCATGATGCCTGGGTCCTGGGATCGAGCCCCGCATCATGCTCCCTGCTCAGCGGGAAGCCTGCTTCTTCCTCTCCCACTCCCCCTGCTTATGTTCCCTCTCTCGCTGTCTCTCTCTCTCTCTCAAATAAATAAATAAAATCTTGAAAAAAAAAAAAAAAAAGGAAGTGTTGGTAAGGGACTGTGTGGAGTTCTGTGGTCATTCCTTCAAGTACCCGGGGGAACGGGCCAGCTCAGCCTTTCTCTCAGGCTCTGAATGGAGTGAAGGGTCCTTGGTGGTTTTAGACCCTAGCTATGAAGATACAAGTATGTGGACAGAAGGAAGGAGGGATAGAGAATGGAATTAAGAGGAGATAACTTAAAAAAAAAAAAATCCTCAGGAAATATCCATTGTGTTTCTTACCATGGGTGACCTCATTAGCACAGTTATAGAACCACTGCTGCAAAAGTCCTTCTTTATCTCTCATGGTACCTGAGCGCCCTTCTGTCTTCAGGATTTAGGTTCTTGATTTAAAGGTTGTTTTGTTTCCCTTAGAATACCTTTAGAGTGCCTTACATGTGACTCTCCACATACAGGATAAAGTCCAATTCCTTAAATGGCATATAAGTCCTTTCATAATCTTTTTTTTTTTTTTTACCCTAGCTTTGTTTGCTACAACTCCCCTGCACGTATTTTGTGCTTCAGCTATATTAAAAACTACTCATTGGGGTGCCTGGGTCGCTCAGTCTGTTAAGCTTCTGACTCTTGATATCGGTTCAGGTCACGATCTCATGGGTCTTGGGATCGAGCCCTGCATTGGGCTCCGTGTCAGGGGAGTTTGCTTGGGATTGTCTCTCTCCCTCCCACTCCCCCCTCCCCAGCTGTATCTTTAAAAAAATTACTTGTTTTTCAGTGTTGCCCTGTGCTTTCAATGCCCCTGCCTTTGCACATGCTGTTCACTCTTCCTTCTCTGCACTGACCACAGCCTCTTGGCTGTAGTTGTATTATAGCACTTAACCACATTTTGTTGTGATGGCACCAAATTGTACATTCAAGTTGTCAAATGCACTTGATGTTTCCCTGTAATTTTTGATATGGAGGGAATTTTAAAATTGGTATAAATTTATTTGTATATATATTCTTTTATAATCATAGCTTATCTGAAAGAATATACAGGAAACTGGTAATAGCAGTTACCTTTGGAGCAAAGACCTGGGTGTCTCTATAGTATATCACCTTTGGTACCTTTTAAACCCTGAATCATATATGTATATTTAAATAAATATACATAAGAATATCTTATGTATGGAAAGTTAATTGATATGGTCAGCTTTATTTAGCTTGTGTACTAATTGGTATTAATAGTCCTGTATTAGTCAGGGTTCTTCAGAGAAGTAGAACCAGTAGGAGATAATATGGAGATCTGCTGGCTCACAATTGAGGCCAAGTCCCATGATCTGCGCCCTGCAAGCCAGAGACACAGGAGAGCTGGCGGCGTAATTCTAGTCCAGGTCCAAAGGCCTGAGGACCTGGGAACCAATGGTGTCAGTAAGTCCCAGGAAGGAGAAGACCCATAACCCAGCTCAACCAGGAAAGCAGAACAAACACTCCCTTCCTCTACTTTTTATCTCTCGGGCCCTCCATGGATGGGATAATGCTCACCCACGTTGGGGAGGGCAGTGTACAGGGCTGAGTCCACTGATACACATGTTAGTCTCATCTGGAGACACCCTCACAGACACACCCAGAAATAACGTTTCATCTGGGCACCCTGTGGCCCCGTCCGGTTGTGTGAAAAATTAACTGTCACAAGCCCTGCACAGAGAAGACGCGTTAGGTGCAGATACTCGTTTTGATACAGATTTTTCCCTGTTCGGTAGGTTCACACTCCTAGATTTGTCAAAAACAGTGTGGTGTGTGGCCCAGAGGAGTGAAGAACAGCTGTAGCGAACACCTCTTGAGAATATACTGTACGCTGGGCACTACTCTAAACTTGAAGGGTGTTGATTCCTGCTCTCTCAGCCTCTTTTGGCAGGTGCCACTCTTACTCTTACATACTAAGAAATGACGGTCAAGAGGGGTGGCTTGCCCTTTTGTGATGAACACTGGCTGTTAGATGTAAGTGATGAATCACTGCATTCTCCTCCTGAAACCAATACGACACTCTGTGTTAACTAACTTGAATTCAGTAAAAACTTGGAAGGGAGGAGAAAAAAAAAGGGTCGTTTGCTCACACAAGAACACATGGTAGTGTTGGGATTCCAACCTGGGCACTTTAGTTCCAGACTGGCTCTTAACTATATTCTGCCACTCAGATAAAAATTAAGATGGAATTCTTAATCCTTGTAATGTTATATAATTTGTTGTATTTGCTGTAACAGTTGCTGCATGTATAACTTCACTGTGCTGTTTTTATCAGATGTCATCTGTTTAATACTTATAAAAATGTACATTTTAAGATGTGGTTCAAAGAAGTGTACTTTTTTTCTTTGTATATTCTGTAAATTCTTGTATATTCTTACTGTTCAGCAGGGATTTACCATGACCATGTGGGTATCGAATGGCAGATGATTTTGCAGTCTCAGGCTTGAGGTGAGATTAGGGTATTTTAAGGGTCCATCTGCTCAAGACTCTGAATGATTCAGGATTCTATCAGATTAGGAATTTACCAATTTTTAAGGCAGAGGCTTGTCTCAGTTTGGTGGAATAAGGCATGTGTGACATGAAGGTTAAACCAAGACTTTGAAAGCCTTTTCCAATGCTGAGATTGTGACTCCCTGTTGGGTTAAAATATTGCTTTCAGTTATATTAGAGGACTTTTAAGATCATATATAGCTTTAACTTTCTTTTGGAAATGTAACTAAAACTTTTTCTATAGTTCTATTTAACTTATAACAATTTACTAACCCAGAAATAATTGTGTATTAAAATGTATCCAAATTACTTGTAATTGTGTGTTTCTTTAACAGGATTAGCCTGTACAATTTTAGAATAGTAAGAGAACCTTATTAAATAGTTTCCCCTTAGAATGTTACCAGTTTATATGTGGGAGTAAAGACCTACAGAGATTGATTTGCTTCAAGTCAGATAGGTTATTGTTAGTGGCAAAGCTGGGCTTAGAATTGAGGTCTCTAAGAGCTTCACACAGAATGGAACTACTCTATTATGAGGCCTCAGCTGCTTCAAAATATGGTTATTCAAACTTAACATTGTATTCAACTAGCATAACCTGCTTGGTCTGGGAATCTTTGGGTATAAGCATAATTAGTTTCTATTCTGAGTTACTGAAAATATCATTTAATGCCCAACAAAGATGGTGTAAAAATTACATCAAACTTTCCTTCGGTAAACAACTCATGACATTGAGAATTTCCCTGAATTTAGAATATAAATTTTTGAGTAAGTGGTCAAGCAATTCTATTTAAATTTTTTTAGCATTCAGAAATATCATTTGAAGATTATCTTTTGGCAAGAGAATTTATATAGTCCACTTATGATTTACCGAACCTAATCAGTTGATGCTTTTACAGAGTAGTTATAGGGCCAGATCCTACCAGATAAGTTTAGTAGCAACCTGGTTGTAGATGAACATATGTATAATATTTAATATTACTGTAGGAAGTAATGTTTTTTAGGATCATGTCCAGTGTTGTGGGAAAGCTTGTTTTTCAAAGTGAGAGTAACAATTTCTTATGTGTGTTTTTTCTCTTTTTAGACTTTCGATAAAATTCTTATTGCTAATAGAGGAGAAATTGCATGTAGGGTGAGTAGAATTTTAATCTTATTTTCCATTTTACTTTGTGAATTTTATTATTAAATCCCTTTAAATCCAAATCCTTGTTAATAGATAATGTTTATGTATTTTAAAATAGGTTATTAAAACTTGCAAGAAGATGGGCATTAAGACGGTTGCCATCCATAGTGATGTTGATGCTAGTTCCGTAAGTATATTTTTGCTTTATTTGAAACAGGACCTTATTTGTAGTTAAACAAAGTAAGTTCTTCCCCCCACCCACCCCGGCCTGGAAAGGATATACACAGTTACAAAAAAAATCTAATTATTCACTCCTGTATTAAGCAAAATGGAAGCATCATGATGTCTTTAATATGTGTCTAAACTTTTTCCCAAGGTTTTAAAAATCTAGAGTTTAAAAATTGCTGGACTGGTTGCTGACTACAAAGTAGATTTGAGCAAAGCTTGAGGAAGTTCCATTCACAGATTGATGAGATGTTTATACCGTGCTGCCTTATGAGAGCACATTTTCCCACAGCTGAATTCCAGTTAATTGTTTAACCTTCATAAATGCTTCGTGTTCAGCTGAAAGTTTGATAAAAGAAGGATAGGCTAATACTAATTGGACATGAACACAAGGAGTAGTATAAAGCAGTGAATGATACATTATTTTATTGGGGATTTTTAACCACAGCAGGCATTTTTAACAGTAGTAAACGATGAAGGAGTAGAAAAAAATGCCATGAGAAAATAATGTAAATTTTTGGAACTTTGGGGGATGAAATATAAGTAGTTGTACTTTAAGTTAGTGTTTTTCATTCTTGCATACTACTTTTGGTAACAGTACCTATTGGTAATGTCAGCTTTTATTGTATAGTAATACAATACAGAGGATTTTCAATATTTGTGATTTCTTGTTTTATCTAGAACTATGTTCATTTAGCTTTATTGTGACTGTCTTCCTTCTTTAAAAAAAGAAGAGAACCATTGGAAGCTTCTCTAATTTCCTGAAAATAAAGGTTAGGTACTTATCTTGTTTATTTGACAGATGCATTTAAAATAGTTGTTTACTTAAAAGCAATTAAATCAAGCAATTAAATAAACTTATTTTGTGTATATAGTTTTTTTTGTTTAATATTGGTTTCTGGCCTCTTTACTAATAATTTGTTTTAACTGATAACTTCAATAGTAGTTTATATTCCTTACAAGATATTCATGAAATACTGAGAAAACTGTTACTTTAATCTCTTTCTTGATCATTAAATTAAGGCAGTTATCAACAGCAAACTCCTTTAGAAAAAAGTTTGTGTCACCATCAGGCTAGTAATAGATTTAAAATTCCTTCTTCTTGGGATGCCTGGCTGGCTCTGTTGGAGTGTGCGACTCTTGATCTTGGGATTGTGAGATTGAGTCCTATGTTGGGTGGAAAGATTACTTAAAAAAATCTTAAAAACAACAACAACAACAAAACCAACCCTCTTTTTTGTCTTGTGTTCATTTTGATTGTGTTAGCTCGTGAGGTGTTTTCATTCATGGATAAATTGAGAGAGAAAAAGGTTTGAATTGTGGACATTCACCGTTTTTACATCAAGTCTGATAGTAACCTTTCACTTATTTTTCTCATATCAAAATACAGGTAGTTCTCTATTCTGTGTTCTCATGAAGATGACTGTTGGCATGGATTGTCCAAAATTATTTATATTGTGATTTTTTTTTTCATGTTTATATTTCAGTGTTGGTATTCTAGCCCCCGATAGCATGACTACCTTTCCCATTCTTAAATCTCTAGCTTTGTATTCTTGTTAGGTAGAAGCTAGGACCAGTGGAAGGAGTGCCCTGAGACAGAGTCCCAAGTCCTTCAAAGGGAATGATAGAGACATGAGCTGGAGGCAAGGATGGGGATAAATAAGCTACACATTAAAAGTCCAGGAGCACAACATCCTGACCTTGTGGCTTCCAAGACCTTGTGGTTGACAGACGAAAGAGCCACAGGTGCAGAACTTGGTGCTCTTCTCTTCCACCTCTGCCCCAGGGTAACGACTAGACTCATGATGCATTTGCGTTGTGGGGAGAGGCCCCCCCCCCCCCCCGCCCCTTGGAGAAAGGCTGCCTTGACAGATACTAACCTTGTAGGGTCAAAAACTCCTCTTTCCAACCTGTGGGAGGAGTTTCCTAAATGATTGGAAGCCCCTTAGGTTAGAGACCACCCCACTGTCCATCACAGCTCCTCCCAGCCCAGAGAGACCCAGTAACATCCAATCCCAAAACAACCCAGAGGCCAAGTAGACCTCTGGGAGCTTGCCTGCTCTCCCACCTTGAGATTGTACTTTCTGCTTTAATAAAGTGCTTTGCACTTGCTACTTTCAAGCTGTCTTCATTAGAATGCAGGTCCTCATGTAAATCTTCTTGTGGTGAATCTAAGTACCGAGACCTCTGTTCACAGAACACAGACTCTCTCACCTGTAACATTCTGATCTAGAGCTAGACTGTCCCTTTCCAGGCTTTGAAAAAACTAGTTTCAAAAGAGATGGTCTAAGTTTTAAGATGGTCTTTCATATCCTTCTAAAGCAGAGATGGTAGTTTCATATTTTAAAGACTTTTAGTCACTTTTTGCTGAAAGTAGAAAGGAAATAAGTCTACCAGATATTATAATACATTATTTATTTTTAAGATTTTATTTTTTGACAGACAGCGAGAGAGGGAGTACAAAAGCAGGGGGAGTGGGAGAAGGAGAAGCAGGCATCCCGCTGAGCAGGAAGCCGGATGCAGGGCTCCATCCAAGGACCCTGGGACCATGACCTGAGCCGAAGGCAGACGCTTGATGACTGAGACACCCAGATGCCCCCACAACTTTTTTTTTAACATTTAAGCAGGGGAAAAAGGCTAACAGTTACTACAAATATTGTGTGATAAGTCACACAAAGAAAACCAACTACCTTGCAGACAATGTGTAATGGAAAAAAATTGGCTTTTACAGATGATTATGCAGTTTTTCCATTGGTCCCCTTTCTCCTGTTCTTCAAAATTGTCTTCAGTATTGTCTTTTCTTGGCTCTTCCGTGTTAATTTTAGGATAAGCTTATTAGACACATCCACCATTTTTTAGCTATTGGGAACAAGACTTCTATAAACAAACGAGTACAAGTCTTTGTGTAAACATATACTTTCATTTCTCCTAGATAAATACCTAGGAGTGGAATTGCTGGGTCATAGGGTAAATGAGAGGCAAAGCAGCCTTTTCCTGTTGGGACAGTCAATCTGTTTGTCTGGAGAGTAAATATAGTTTAGACTTTGCAGGTCTCCTTTGTATGGTCTCCTTTGCATGTTCTTTTTCTTCTTCTGACCCTTTAGAAATGTAAAAACCATTCTGGGGGGCTATAAAAAAATCAAAACAACCCCCCCCAAACCAAAACTGTCTTTAGATTGGATTTAGCCTGTGGGTGGGTGGTATTTTGTCAACTCCTGGCACAAATAGATGCATGTTTATAAGAAGCTGCCAAACAGTTGTCCTACATGGTTGTGCCATATTCTGTTCCCACCAATAATGTATGAGTGTTTATGTTGCTCTGTGTCCTTGCCCACACTTGGTTTTATCAGTCCTTTTGAATTTTTTTTTTTAAGGTTTTATTTATTTGACAGAGACACAGTGAGAGAGGGAGGACAAGCGGGGGGCAGTGGGAGAGGGAGCAGCAGGCATCCCGTGGAGCAGGGAGCCCGATGTGGGGCTCGATCCCAGGACCCTGGGATCATGACCTGAGCGGAAGGCAGATGCTTAATGACTGAGCCACCCAGGTGCCCCAGTCCTTTTGATTTTTGCTGTTCACTGGTCATTATGTGTTCTCATTGTAGTTTTAATTTAAATTCTCTGATGAATATTGATGTTGAGTACCTTTTCATATTAATGGCCATTTATATTCTTAAGTGTTTGTTCAAACATATAATTGGAAGAGCAGTACAGTGAATACTTGCATACCCTTTGCCTGGATTCACCAGTTGTTAACATTTTGATACGTTTGCTTATATCTGTATCCATATATATAAGTATATATTATGTTTCTTTTCTTTTTTGTTTTTTTTTTTTTTGCTAAAGAATTTGAAATTAAGTTACAGACACTGTGGCATTTCACCCCTAAATACATCAGTATTCATTTCCAGGAAAAGGATATTCTCTTACATACACCTTATCAAAGCTGGGAAAATTACCAGTTATTCTATAGTATAATATGCAAACTATATTCAGATTTCCCCACTTGTCTCCGAATGTCTTTTTTTCTTTAAATATATATATATTTTAAATTTATGAAAGAGAGAGGGAGTGAGGACAAGCGGGGGAGTGGCGGAGGGAGAGGGAGAAGCAGGCTCCCCACTGATCAGGAACCCCGATGCGGGACTTGACCCCAGGACCCAGAGATCATGACCTGAGCTGAAGGCAGATGCTTAACCGACTGAGCCACCCAGGTGCCCCAAATGTCTATTTTTTTTCTTTTAATCTATGCTCTACTCCCAACTTGGGGATCGAACTCATGACCTTAAGATGAAGGTGCTGTAATGACTAAGCCGTCCAAATAAATGTCTTTAATATTTTTCTTTGACTTATGGTTCAATCAAGGTTCATGAATTGTATTTGTATTATGCCTCTTCAGTCTCTTAATCTAAAATAGTCCTCCTATCTTTCCTCCTTTCTTTGATTTTCATGATACTGATATTTTGAGGAATTCATGCTAATTGGCTTATAGATATTCTGGATTTGTTGGATTGTTTCCTCATGAACAGATTTAGTTTAAATATTTTTTGAGAAGAATACTTCATAAGTTATCTTACTATTGTATCCTATCAAGAGGTTCATGATGTTGGGTGGTTCTGGTTACACTAAGTTTGATGACTTGGTTGAGGTAGCTATTTTCAGGTTTCTCCTTTCCTTTTTTTTTTTTTTTTAAAGATTTTATTTATTTATTTGAGAGAGAGAGAATGAGAGATAGAGAGCATGAGAGGGAAGAGGGTCCGAGGGAGAAGCAGACTCCCTGCGGAGCAGGGAGCCCGATGCCGGACTCGATCCCGGGACTCCAGGATCATGACCTGAGCTGAAGGCAGTCGCTTAACCAACTGAGCCACCCAGGCGCCCTCCTTTCCTTTTGAAAATTTTTTTCCTCTTTTGAATTTTTTGGGGGTGAATCTTCGAAACCATGTGAATATTTGTCCCCCCAACAGC